CCCAGTACCCCTAAACTTCCACAGTGACACTAACCTCCCACAGTGCCACCCCACCTTTCACTGTGCTCCAGCCTGCTTCAGAGTCTCCTGTCCCCTATAGTGCCTCCAACAGTGTCAAACAAATTTACCCTGTAGCCCCTGCAGTGACTCTAGATAGATCCTCAGCCCACATTTGCCCACAGCCCTCTCTAGAATCCTCATCCCCCACAGGGCCACCAAGTTTGCTGCAGAGTCCCATAACCCCTTCCAAAAACCCCATCCCCTTTCTGTGACACCCAGTCTCATCTAGAGCCGTCCAGCCACCCACATCTTTAGCACACTTCAAAGCCCCCTATATTATAAAATACAAATTACGATACAATATTGTATTGGTTATACTAGGAACTGCTACACAGGAAATGCTTCTGATGAGAGGGACAGGAGGGACAGCTATGAGTGAATTCTGTTTTGAATTAATTGAACTTTTTTTATTTTAAAATTATTTAAAATGTTTTTATTGTCTTGTAAAGACACTGACTCATGCTTATTAAAAGAAGGGATGGGGGGAAGGCAGGCGCAGTTTGATATCTTCACCCAGGGCACTGGATAACCTTTTTCCAACACAAGATGATATCCCTGGGGTGTGTGAGGAATGTAAACAGCCAGTGGGTAGTTCAATCCAGCAGAATCGTTTGAATGAGATATTAGTTATGGGTTGACTGATCCAATAAAGCTGTGGGGAAAAAAAGTGTAAACCAGCAGCAGCAGTAAATAGCAGCACCTACCTGTGTGTCATGCCCATTTTACATTTCAAGGACCCCATTGCCCCTAGTCCAAATTCACCCAACACAGTAAATATTTTCATTACAGAAATCAGCCAATAAAAAGCTATGATAAGGGAGGCAGAACCATATTCTAAAGCCAGGAAGCAAGTTCTGTATTTGTATACTACCAGTGCACTGGTGCCTTGAAAGTGGATCTGGCATCTGGCCCCAGAAGGTGCTTTCTATGTACTACCAGCAATGGTTTAGAGGTTTTTTCCCACTACAGATTTACTTTCAAGTGTAAATAAAAAGATAGTGTGGTAAAGGGTTAGAACTTCTGTGATTTGACCTGATGATCACTGCCACCAGGATTGAAAGAAATTAAAAATCCATTTTTTGTGTGTGACTGAAACAGGAATACATGGGAACTCTTCCAAAGGGCATGTGTGTTCAGCATCAAAGGGGATTTCCCCCACTGTGGACAGATGTCCTCTCACTATAGCTGGCCATATACCAAAAATTTGTTCTCAGAATGTTTGTTCAACTTTCTAATAGTTGATGGGGTCAAATTGATGATCACCTTTGACTGCAGTGAATAAGAAACAGGATGGAATTTTTTTTACGAACGAAGTTCTAACAGTGAATGTGGTTTTCGCTGCGGAAACTCCATTTATTCCAAAATTGAATGTTAAGTTGAAATGAACATTAAATTAAATTTTGTAATACATTTATCAAGTCTCTGATGGCATTAGCAAATGGTCTGGAAAGATTTTTCATACATTCGGAAATCTACCAGTGCATGACCAGCTTAACGGTTGTGTCTCAAAACAGGACGTGAAGAAAAATCTCCCCCCCAAAAAAGGAAAGAAAAAAAACTGACAGGAGTTTTAATTACTCTATCCAAAACAAAAAGTTTTGCTTTAGATATACTTTAAGAAAATCCATCTGCTAGTATAAATGGTAAAAGTAGCACTTTGCTTTGCATTATCTCACAGTTTAAATATATTTGGTAGCGATAAAGTGAAAACAAATAGTGTTTGTCTATATATTATTAAATAATATGTAAATGTATATACGGTGTATGTATATATACACTGAGTGGCCAGATTATTATGACCACCTGACGTTTGTAGGCAAATTAGCTATAATTTCGCGCTGAAGTTGCTAGAGGGCCAGACCATCATAAATAGGGAAGCACGTTGTTTACCACGACAGTAGAAGTGATTTGTTTCTGATATGGGTAAACAACACGATTTAACAGCCTTTGAACGTGGGATGATTGTTGGCGCTCGGAGCCAAGGAGCGAGTATCAGCAAAACAGCAGAATTAGTTAAATGTTCAAGAGCAGCTGTTGTGAAAGTGTTTAAAGACTGGACTGTCAGCCGAAAATCTGGGTCTGAACGTGCGCCCAACGAAGTAATCTCGTGAAGTCATCTCGTGGCCCAACGAAGTACTGATGTGGTGGTCATAATAATCTGGCCACTCAGTGTGTGTATATAATATATATATATATATACATAACAGAAAGAAATTCAAAATCCATTAACAACAATGAAGAAAGTGTAAGGGAAATCTAATTTGTTATAATCTATTTAATGAAAAAAATAACATTGGATTGGAAATGGAGGAAAAGCCTCATCTGGGATATAATTTAAACATATGATAGAAATGGACAACATTCACTTTATATACTATATATCTTTTTAGTGGCATATGATAACTATGACACTGGAGAAGATCATCATTTATCCTCAGAATTTAGATGCTAGTAAAGTGATACAGTTTCAGGATAGGTACTTGCGGTGGACTGAAGGGATATTTACTATTTATCAATAAGTCACATATACACAACCAGAGCATGTAAATATCAAAAGCATGTAAATAGTTTGTTGACCTATGCACACGTATACTTTGGTACTCTGAAGAGACAATGTCTATGACACTAGAAGAATCAGTTTGTTTTTCTTTGTGGTTCCTTTGTGGACTTCTTCTTTTCACTTTTTCAGACTGTTAATAAATTTGGTTCATTTTGATTGTTTGGTGTTATCTTCTTTGGCAAACTTTGGTTATTACAAACTACAACTATTTACAGTTATATAAAGATTCAGCATTCCATAGGCAAGACATAGTGAAGGGGGCAGTCACATAATTAATATGAGTACCTGGTACTAGACTGCTTGTTAGCTGCTCCCCCACTGCACAAACAAGAAGTAAAAGTGTTTCAATTGTTTATATTTTCAGTGATTTTAGCATCTCCTCATTTTATAACAATCCAGTTGTTCCATTAGCCTGAAGTTCTACTTAAATACATACCACACTGTATAATAAAATCAATAGTCTAATGAAAGGTAAACTGAGGATAACAGGTTTCATAACATTTGGTGATTTTCTGTGTATTACAAGTCTGAGATTCATAAATAAATTAAGAAATAAATAAAAAAAAGTACTTTGTTTAGTTTTTAGAAATAAATTACATAACAGTTGAAGAAGAATGATGAAATTCTGAAATATAATAGCCTGATGCATCAAACTGTCAGTACTCAGCAGTGGTGCTATTTAACCACAGCCACCAATCAGATCCAATTTTCCGGGACATTGGTGGCTGTTTAAATATAAGTTAGTCTTACCACATTTAGGGCCTATTCATACCATTGTGTTTCGATAACCCACAGCAATGCACATTTCATGTGTTGGTGTGCTGCATTGCGATTCTGATTCTGATATACCTTTTGAGATAAGCTCCAGTGCAATTTTGCAAACCACACTGAATGACCTACCTCCTGGCACACTCCTCTTGACTTGACTTGAGTGTCCATGCCACTCAACAGTTGGTTGCCTAAGAAATGCAACCACACTTCAGGCTCCTCCTCCTATCTCTCCATTGGCCACAGGCTCCTGCATTCAGGCCATGGTCTCTAGATATCAGCATCTCTCTATACCACAGGTACTCTTTGTTCTACCTTTGCTCATCCACCTGTGCTGTCTAGCCAGTGAACATGCCACTTTGTAAAAAGTCCTGGAAGCAACCAATTACCTTTAGGCTTGCTTGACTTAAGGGAACAGGGGCTGCTATAGGCAAGGCTTGAAAAATCGACGAGCAGCTTCCCGGCCAGCTGTTGTAATTACACGGCCGGCCGGGAGCTCTACATTCAAGCGATCGAGCGTCTCGAGACGCCCGATTGCTTGTATTACCAGCAGCTGTCACCGGTCCCGAGATCCGCTGTGCACGATGCGGCCCGGGACCGGCGCGGCTCTGTGACAGGAGATCAAAAGGAGATCAGTACACGATCTCCCTTTGATCTACTCTCCAGTCCCGGAATGCAGGAAGTGACGTGTATTACATCACTTCCTGCATTCAGTGTCACTTTCCAGCTACAGAAGCTGATGAAGCAGCTTCCCGGCCGGCTGTTGTAATTACACGGCTGGCCGGAAGCTCTACATTCAAGTGATCGAGCGTCTCGAGACGCCCGATCACTTGTATTACCAGCAGCTGTCACTGCCGTTGCCAGTCCCGAGATCCGCTGTGCACGATGCGGCCCGGGTCCGGCACAGCTCTGTGACAGGAAATCAAAGGGAGATTAGTACACGATCTCCCTTTGATCTACTCTCCAGTCCCGGAATGCAGGAAGTGACGTATATTACATCACTTCCTGCATTCAGTGTCACTTTCCAGCTACAGAAGCTGATGAAGCCTTAGGTTTGTCCTTAGGTGACATTAGGGGTCTTGGAGACCCCTGATTTCTTCATAAAGAGGACCTGTCATGTAAACTAGCTATCACATAGGGTGGCTTCTTAGCCCCCCCCCCATGTGATAGCAATAAAGTTGTGTAAAAAAAAGAAAAAGTAATACAAAAATTAAACAAAAAAAAATAAAGCATTAAAAAAGAAAAACTATTTTTTAAGTCCTCCGCCCCCCACATACACACGCAGATATGCGTCGGGTGCGCCTACGTGTGAAAACAACGATTGCTCCTATTGTGCCGCACGTTACATATAACGTCGGAGTGTGAGCAATCATTTTAGGGCCATTAATTACTGATAACACTAAACTGATAAGTGGTAAAAGGGACTTAAGCGTCGCCTACGGCCAATTTTCAGTGTGGTCGTTTTTTGCGATTTGCGGGCGCACGTAATTTTAAGGCTTGACATGTTTGCTGTCTATTTACCCGATGTGACAACATCTTTTATATTTTACAAAAAATAAGGATAGATGTTTTATAACATAATGTAGAGAAAAAACATTTTATTCAAAATTTACAGTACTTTTTTCATTATATAGTAAAAAATACCCCCAATTTTTCAAGCCCTGTAGGTGAAGCTGAACAAAGTCAGTTATATTCCCTGAGCTCATACAGGTGCAAGCATTACACATTCATTGGCAAGACCCCAAGGCACTAATATAATGCTGTAGCACAGCACAACACATGCTGTTCTGTGCTTTGCATTTCACCCCATTCATTTTGAGGGAGAAAACAAAAAGGTGTATAAAAACTGGCGTATGAGCACAAACACTGGCAGACACAATACATAAATGGAAAACGTAATCACTTTCAAGTCCATTGAAGAAGTTCTTATGGATAGGGATGCACAGTCATGGATCTCCAAAGAGGCAAGGAAAATCAAAAGTTTAACAACAAAGAACACGGTCAATACAACCGGCCTCATGCATTAAAAAAATTCTCATGTGTTCTAAAGAAAAAATAAGTAATGCACTCACAATGATCGAGTAAAAAATGCCAGGAAAGAGAAGCAAGGAGTCTCCAAGCAAAGATGGCAACAGGTAATGCTCAGCTCTAAGTACAGCAACAAGCACAGCTGGTACAAATGTTACACAACTCCTGGTAACAGAGATGCAAAATTGAAACAGGAATCAAAAAGGACACACTCTATACATTAAGAGTAATACATCTTTAATGAGCAACTTTACTCACCAATTTAATGTTTCCCTACTCCGCCAAGGTTGCACACTGCGAGTAAAAAAATGTCTTGAAAAAGTCTTGTGATCCAGGTAACTGTGACAAACCACTGGTAGGAAAGACACAAATAAGCTATTTTTTTGTTAATAGTTCGGGTACTTGAATGCATTTTTAAGATTTAACTTCTGTGTTTAGTGTCACTTTAAGTATACATTTATTTTTGTCCAGTT